AGAGAGAGAGAGAGAGAGAGAGAGAGAGAGAGAGAATTGTAAAACAATATAACTGAAGATAATTGTAATAATTGTAGAATTATTGCTCCATTTGTATGGCATTATAGGAGTTTTTATTTCTACAGTACTGTAAATGTTTTGACTGATGGCAATACTTGTAATACAATGTATGATAGTTTAGAAGTACAATATGACCATGACAAATATTGTCTAAAACGTGCCTCGATTGTTAATTGTTGTTCTGAGCCGAGAATTGCAACTCTTTATTGAGAATTAATTAAAAGTAAAACAATTATTAAATGAAATGAATACAAGTCTTACTGTTATATCAGATTGTGTTCAAAGGAATTGAAGTATAGATATAGAGAGTGTGGAGTCATCTATGGGTTCGTCAACACAACACTCACTATAACTACAATATTGTAAATAATAATAACAAATAATTGCCAAAACATTTCAAATATTGTTTTTTCGCTGAAATCTTCACACAATTTAATGGCAAATCTTTTGTACAAAAATCTGGGTTTTTGTAAGTATTGTCTCAAACATTGGCCAAACATTGAACTCATGATCACAAGCATTGGTTCCCTTCAGATAAGATACCCGTAACGAAGACTTTGTTATCATCACTGGTGTTGAGTTGTGGCGCTCTTCAGGTGCCGGTCCTCACAGACTACAGACACCTCTTCTTCTTCAGCGTCGATGACATTCTCGTCAGACATAAGGTTTGCCTATAATTGTTGTCCAATCGATACTAACTAATGAAGCGATTGTTTGATTGTGGGGACAGTTATGGCCACTGTTTGTATCGAAGTTGGCATTCATTGACATGAAAGACATGGTCTGCGGATCTCTCTTATTGTATTACTTCCGTGTCTTTGAGCGAAGATTTGGTTCACATAAATATGCCGTTTGTTTATTACAAATACACTAACGATTGAAATGAATATTAATTGAATGGTTTGTCTCAATCTCTTCAGTCATATCTGTTGACGTGTTTCACCATTTCATCGCTTCTGGAGTTGTGTTTAGTATTGGCTTTGAATGCAATGAATGTCACAAACATTCAATACCTAACGCCCGGACCGTAAGACTGTCTCTCCGATTGCTCTGTCTTTTATAATTAACACAAATATTTGTTTGAATTATAGATTTAATATAATATTTGCACTTTTTGTCAACTATTACGTGGATATCCCGGCCCTCAACACTACATATGTGTTGGGAATTCCTATTAATACTAAAACATTGACATATCTTCTCGGACTTCAGGTCTGACTGCCATTAATTAAATGACAAATACTCTTATTTTGGTGTAAACTGAATGGTTTTTGCAATGAATAGGCGATGATATCGTCAAATAGTAGTATTGTTGGCGCGATCTCTGGTATCATCACTGGTTTGATCTGTCGATGGAATGTCTTCCGCGTCTGCGATGTCATCAAAATTCCCAAATCTGTGGCTTCGGGTGTGAGTCGACTGTTCGGTCGGCTGTTGTGTTCGGGACCGCCGGCCGAGAGTCCCATACAAATGGGCGCTACGTTTGAGATCCAATTCAATCTCTTCAGTCATATCTGTTGACGTGTTTCACCATTTCATCGCTTCTGGAGTTGTGTTTAGTATTGGCTTTGAATGCAATGAATGTCACAAACATTCAATACCTAACGCCCGGACCGTAAGACCGTCTCTCCGAGTGCTCTGTCTTTTATAATTAATACAAATATTCGTTTGAATTATAGATTTAATATAATATTTGCACTTTTTGTCAACTATTACGTGGATATCCCGGCGCTTAACACTACATATTTGTTGGGAATTCCTATTAATACTAAAACATTGACATATCTTCTCGGTCTTCAGGTCTGACTGCCATTAATTAAATGACAAATACTCTTATTTTGGTGTAAACTGAATGCTTATTGCAATGAATAGGCGATGATATCGTCAAATAGTAGTATTGTTGGTGCGATCTCTGGTATCATCACTGGTTTGATCTGTCGATGGAATGTCTTCCACGTCTGCGATGTCATCAAAATTCCCAAATCTGTGGCTTCGGGTGTGAGTCGACTGTTCGGTCGGCTGTTGTGTTCGGGACCGCCGGCCGAGAGTCCCATACAAATGGGCGCTACGTTTGAGATCCAAAGGCAACAACAGATTGAATTACTGGAACAACAAATGCTATTCAATAGATATTCAGACATTAATACCAGAAATGATTTGAATGTCATTCCAAACCAACGAACAAATGACTTAAGCGCTCAGACATCGACTTCCAGTAATTCAGAAGCAATTGTGGCCACAAATGCCGAAAGTGTGACCGCTTTGGTTGAGATGGGATTTAGCCGACAGAACGTGGTTCGAGCTCTGGAGCGGTCCAACAACGACATGAATTTGGCCACAAATATACTTCTCAGCGAAACATAAAATGTTATTCATTTAAAGGTTTTATATAAATATTTATTTAAGTCTTAAAGACAGAACTAATTTTAATATAACTTTAAATGCAAATTAAATTATAATAGTTTTTAATAACACATGAAAAATAAAATTATATTTGAAATATTAAAATAACTAATTATTAATTATTTCAGTGTAAATGTCGATAAAATTCATTTATTTGTAATTTAATTTCTGATAAATATTTGACTAAAAACTACATTAGTTTTGCACATTCCTGACAATCTTGCAAAGCATTTAGAAATTATAATATATTTTATGTATTATTAATTAATTAATGGAATGAAATTAATTTAGTTAAAATTTTTTTGGAAATTATTTATGCATTAAATTGCATTAAATACAGTTTTTTATCTTAATTATACGGCCCAAACATATTCAGGTTTTAAAAGTACCGATCGATCGACCCATAGGCCAATACTGGCGCTCATATACACAAAGTTTTACCAATTAATAGTTTGGTGATAAGGGGCTCAAAATAGTTTATCGTGGGTATATGCGGGTATTGCCGCACACAATTTTACCATGCTCATCTAAATGGGTTCATACAGACACCAGTTGTTGACACATGTCATTAATCCATAGGGAGTATGAGAGGGATGGGTACAGAAGCTAAAAAGATCGGTTGTAAGGATCGCACCCCGAAATATACCCCTCAATATTTAATGGCTATTATATACGGGACAGCAGTGATGGGTGGCGTAAATACTGAATTTAAAGCATTTGTTTAGTTGCCAATCGGTAACAAACACTCGGTCTAAGACATGGAAAGTCACAAAACCTAAATAATCATGGTAGAGTTTAACTTAATGACCCACAACTGTATTAAAGTTATGCAACTCTCCAACATTCTATATGTTTTTGTATTTGTTGTGCTAAAAGTAACTTCTCTATGATTGCAATTATACTGTGTAAATTTAGCAAAATTCAGCATCATAAGTGTGGTTGGTAAGATTATCTGCCATCTTTCACTGCAATAGCTTTCCTTAAATTGGCATTCATTTCTTGTATTGTTTGCAATCCTTGTTTTATTAATAATTTTACATTAGAAAGCATTTAAAGTAATATAATTTGCAATTTAGTTGATTACTGTGTTTATCGTTTATTGAAATAAAGCCTCACACATGCTTCCCATGACTAAAACTAGCCGAACAAGACATTATTACCGGTAATAAAACATTAATGTATAATAAATATAAACGAAGTGAATGTGATAATCATGGGAAAAATGCCATCATTTCTAACCAAACATTTGTCAGTATTTTGAGTGAAACAGTAGTGGAAAGACTCGGAATCTGGTCTCTTGTGCTCTACTATTGAGTAAAACCAGATTTGAATAAATAACTGCATTAGAAATACAGTACAGTTATATAAACAGTATGTATAACATTACCTCATATAGTAATGACCTTTCATTTGGCATTGAATGACATTTAAATGACATCCAGAATGAGAGGAATGAAGATCACAATCAGATTAATTCCCGGATTTAATAAATAAGACAACATTTAAAAAGATTTTGTCTTTTTTTCGTTAAAAACAAATTTGTTGTTTAAAACCTATTTAACTACAAGTTTGAAACTAAAATCAATTTTTTAGATTAATTTAGTGCTTATGGCTTATTGAGAGTCTCATGATTTCATAAATACATTTTCAATAAATATGAATTAATTTTTTAATACAATTGCCATAAACTGTCCGATATGTCCGTCAAGTTTTATCTGTTTTATTCCGAAATGAAATAATCTTTAAAATTGATTTTTTACATAAATATTTTATTAAATAATTCGATTAAAAATAATAATTTAATTGTGAATTAAAACTTTAAAATACTTTCTTTAGGAAAATATAAGTTTTTGAACAATATTTGATTGAGTCTATGCCATGAAAATCCATATATCTCTGGATCAGAGGGAACAAGTAGTGAATAGTAACTATAGCTATAATGTGACCCAATAGTGAATCGCATCCTCTTCTCTGACTTGTATTTCTGGTAATTTTAACAAAAAAAGTTACGATTTGTTGCTCTATATTAACAGCACATATAAAACAGCGCTCTTTCTCTCTTCACAAACACTTATTGAAATTATTCTCAACTATTATTTTGTCTTTTATTTGATTCGAGAGATAATTCATTTCATAAACAATGTATTCATTGAGAATTTCTATCGCAATCTTTACAATATGTTTGTTTGAATTGACATTTTGCCAGCGCTTTGGTTCGGGTCCCTGTCCTATAGTCAAACCACAGACTGACTTTGATAAGTCAAAAGTAAGTGATTTAACGTTATAAAAATGCAAACTAAACCATCATTTGAAAACAAATTGCTGTAAATTTTTGATAGTTTTTTGGTCATTGGATTGAAGTGGAAAAGTCTCCGTCCATTTTTGATTTAGTTATGAGATGTATTGCCGTCGACTATTCAGGTCTGAAACACAACTCATATTTATTTTGTTTATTTCAAACGTAAAGTTTCTTTCATACAAACAAACAGATGATAACGACGGCAGTATTAATGTCGTGGTTCGCGGCACTTCTCTGTACGTTATATCTACTCATATTATATAATTAGTTTTATTGTCATTACTATTGTCATACTTTATTTGGCATTTAATATAGCGCTGGTCTTCCACTCAATGTAAACGGTGATGGACTGCCACAAGACGTGTCCAGAAATGGTCAGTACAGCGTTAGATATGGGTTCGGAGTGCCATTTCAGGGCACTTACATCACTGTTATAGACACCGATTACACCGATTACTCCGTCATCTACTCGTGTACTAATAGTCTTCTTCCCGGAGTCTTCCACACAGGTATGGCTCTTATAATCACAGGAATAATGTTTAAATTTGCTATTTTATAATTAACTTAAATTTCTTAATTTAATATAAGTTATTATAAGTTTAATTTAAAAATATTCAAGTCTCTAAGGCATAAGACATAACTTGAAACCTCGTAATAATTTCTCGGTTCATAAGATTTTTTTGTTTTTATTAAAACAAATTCATATAATTTATAGAATATTTAAATTATAATAAGGGATATAAAAGTTATACAAAGTTAAAGAATAACTGGTTTCGGGAATTTATTTCCAATAAATAATCGATTGATAGAAAACATTAAATACAAATTATATTACTCTTTATCGCAAATGCTTTTCAAATTCTTTGCTGACATTTAATAGCATTTAAAATAAGTAATAATATTAATTGCATTTTACACATAATTATGTTTTAAACAAATAATTAATGAAATGTTTGAACGGTTAGAATATCTATGGGTTTTGTCGCGCGACGGAACGCTATCCAACCCTTCGCGACAAAACATATACGAAAACTTGGATCGACTGAAGATTAATAGAGTTGGCCTTCAATTGAGCGAAAGGGCCGCTTGTGTCGGACGGAACACCACTTTGAACAATAGGGAGAGCGATGAGGACCTCATCAAAGGCACAACACTTAAGCCATTGCCAACTCTTGTCCCGTCTTCTGCCGCAAACGTTTAAATCAATCCCTTTTTACAACACAACAAAACACTTTCATTTTAATTAATTTATTTCAGAAATATTAATATATAACTCAATTCATAGTTGAATTGAACACTTAATAAGTAAATTATATTAATTCTTATACATATATATTTGTTTTATATATTTTATATTCACTTCAATGAGTGTTATTTTTTGTCAAACATTCAATTTAAAAATTTACTCATAAAATTTTTGTTTCAAAATAATACTTTTCACGAATGTTTCACAATAAAAATAATACAATAAATGAAAAACAAGAGTCGGTCAATGAAAACAAAAATCAATTTCCACTCGTTTTCAGTTGATTTTGTGGAAGCGATGTCAGTGTCCGCACCACTCGGTTCTTCAGCTGTCAGTTGCATGTGATCTGAACTCAATTGTTGACTTTCATTCATGCAATCATTAGTTATGCAACAAATATGTCCTAATAATCCCGACAATAAATTGATGACAAATTGCGGTATTTTTATATTAGAATTGAGGCAAAGAAAAAATATGTGTTGAGATATTGTTGAGAAAATCAATGCCAATCCAACCATAAGAACCAATAGACTCAGATTCCTAACTGTTGCAAATAAATAAGAAATATTTTTACATAGATATAAACTTATAATAATAAAGGTGTATTAATATTACTTTTACATTTTAATCTAACAATAAATATATTAACTGTGTGCAATTTTAGAAAAATATTCTGAAATTAATTCCAAGTACTAAAAATTAATCCGTAAAATATGCACATTTTATTGTATTTTAATTTTATGAAATGTTATAAGCAATAGGAAGTGAAGACATACCTGCATAGGGAGCGCCTATTGAAGCCGTCCCTAACTGTAGTCCCAAATACAGTAAAGTACTTAAACTTATAAATAAACTGAAAAAATACATTAAAATTTGAATATTTATAAATAAAATGAGAGATAAACCTAATGGATGCCAAAGTAAAACGAATGCTCGACTGAGAAGGCAACCAAAAAATAGCCAAAATTAATGTCATCGATGCTATTGAAGGCAATGTTATTAAATAGTAGTAAAACGATGTATTTCTGTTTGGAAAACATTGTAATATTACAATGATATCTATCAAATGATATTGTTAGCTTTTATATAAACCTTTCCAGTCTAAGTGTAAGACCCAGTGTGGTGTACACACCATAATCCGGATAGTTATAGTCGTTTCTATGTTTCAATAATTTTAATAATAAATAAAACTATTGTCTAAAAAAGTGTTCATAGTGAAATAACCTTGCAGATTTAACATTGATAACATTCCACTCGGCATTCGTATACCAAAGACCTCCGACCCAGAATTGTTGGCCTTTTTGTCAATATAAATAATAAATCAATTGTTTGCTCAAATAATAATAATCTAATTATAAACCTAAAGTTGTAATATTGATCTGATCTTGATTATGACTCCACGAACCAAATCTTATATCACATGTTTGCTTATCGTATGGATAGTCTGTCAGATCGACACTGCATGAGGTCTTTATAGTACCCGCCGGTATCCTTATATTTCAATTGTTTTAGTTTTAATTTTTTAAAATAGTTTAATTAAATATTGATATACATATGGGTTAGAGAACGGTTGAGCAAATGCTTCCCTGCAATACACATAACTGGAACATTTCAATTATTCCGATAGTTCACTGTATGTGTTATATCTGCCTATTTTGCATTGCAAGCAGTATGTGATCATTGGTTCTCTGAACCCATTGTACATAACAAACCAATTGACGGTTCCATTAGAAGTAACAATAATGTGAGCTTTCGCTAAATTTTCGTCTAAATTAAATCTTTTAATAAAGAAATTAATTTGAAACAAGGATCACACGCGATGCTATGCGTTAACCACAATTCGGGAAATTCATCAAAGATTTTAAATTTTTTAATACGATTGTTGGAATACTTTCATTATTATTATTTTGAGAATTTTGAATGTTTTTTACAACAATTAGTTCTATTTATTATGTCAGATTGATTTAGTATATCTTCATAGAGAAGCATTATTTCATTAAAATAACATTACACCCATAGACTTAGCATTACCAATGTTATCCCTATGTCATAGACTTAGCATTACCCATAGACTTATCATTGCCATAGA